TCTAGGGCTCTTTGCAGATATTTTAAGCATAGGCTATTCATCCTTTAAATTTTGTGTAGTCCCACTATGTCTTAGTAACATTTCTGGAACTGTCCCAGCTATGAAAAAAGATTATGGAAGAATGATCACCAATTTTTATTTGCTTTGAACAAAGTAGACAGGATCACTCTGCATAATTATAGTACCACCTAGGTACTGTGCTAAGCAGTCTAATCCTCACCGTGACGCTGTGAAATAGTGACCTGCCCAAGGGCTACTCCTAGAGTGGAATCTAGGCTTTATAGGAATTGAGATGATATTTTGCTTAACTCTTTGGGAGGCGAGAGAGTCTTTTCTGTGTAAATTACTATATCAAAACTAAGATCATGAAATCATAATTTATGAAGTAGATTAACTTTTACCAAATGTCACAAATTAGAATTTAGTAGCTAGGACAACTCCCATCTCCACGGGGAGCTAAACTTGGAAGTAGAATCTGCAGTTTGTAGATGTTAGCCTGTGGAGGGCTGTTAGGAAGAGAAGAATTTGGATCCCCTTCTCTTTTTTTTTTTTTTTTTAAACAATAGAGATTTATTTTCTCACAGTTCTGGAGTCTAGAAGTCTAAGATCAAGTTGAGTTCAGGGTTGGTTTCTTCGGAGGCTGATGGCCGTCCTCACATCGTGTCCTCACAGGATCATCCCTTGGTTTGTCCCTTTATCTGTTTTTATAGTTGTGAAGTTTCTGGGAATTTTGAAGCCATAGGGACATGCTTTGTTTTTTTTAAATCCCCTTAATTTCCTTCTTCCTCATCTTGCTTCCCACCCACCCCTCCACTAAAAACAATCACTTTTGTGAAAGAGGGATTAAGGATTCATGAACTCAGCAAGTCTTTCTCCTACCTTATTCTAGGCTCCTCTTGGTGTCCTTTGTAAGTTCCTTACCTGCTAACTATTGTAGTTCTTTCTGTAGGGCTTTGTTCTAGGTCATTGGTTCTCTAAGAATGGTTCCCCAGACCAGCAACATCAACTTCACCTGGTAGCTTGTTAGAAATGAAAATTATCAGGCTCCACCTGGACCTAAAGAATCAGAAACTCTTGGGATGGGACCTAGTCATCTGTGTTTTGATTTTTGCTGAAAGTTGAAACCCGATGTTTTAAGGCATTCTTGCTCTGTTTGCTCCTTAGGTATTTCATTTGTTAGCATGGGTTGAGTTATTACCATCTTATGTGCCCATAATCTTCACGTTTATCTCTTTGGTCCAGTTCTTCTGAGGACCAGGCCCATAGATCCATCTGCCTGTTATTCATCTTGACTTTGATGTCTCATAGTTTCTCCAGCTTAACTTGTCCAACACTGAACTCAAAAATTCTCTCAACCACCCTTTCTTAGGCTCAGTAAAAGGCATTACCATCTACCAAGATGTTCAAGATAGAAACCAAAGCTTGGTTCATTCAATTGCACAAGTACTAATAAGTTCTAAGTATATTGCACTGTACTGGCTCAGACTGTGTACACATACATACAGACACACAAAAATAGTGATAATTTTAATTACATAATGAGTAAATGTAATGAATAATCCAAGTTAAGTGTGAGACAGGTTATGTCTTTTAGGAAGTCTAAATTCTCAGAACTGTGTGCCTTGCTGAGTATGATTCCAGAGCTTAAAGGCTAAGTATAGCCGACCCTTTAACATGGGTTTGAACTGCACAGTTCCACTTCTGCATGGATTTTTTCAACAAAATGTGGATTGAAAATACAATATTCATGGGGTGCAAAACCTGTGTATACAGAGGGCTGACTTATTATGTATTGGGTTCTGCAGGACTGACTGTGGTACTTGAATATGAGTGGATTTTGGTATATGTGGAGGTCCAATTCCCCACATATACCAAAGGATGACTATAGTATAAACACGGCCTCTTAAGTACGTCATGTAGTGCTCAACCAAAGAAACTTGTGTATAAATATATAGTGTATTTGATTACTATACAGGATTGAATATACAAACTATATCTGTTGTAATTGATAGGCAATTTCCAGGAAAGGGTTGGTGAAGTGTCATTTGTAAAATGGGGATAATAACCATCCGAACCTCAAGTTGTTATTAAGTGCAGTGATATATTTAAGGACTTAGAGTAAGCAGCAGTGCCTGGCACATAGGTGAAGGTTCTATAAATATAAGTTGTGGTATTACAGTCTCTTCCCCCTTGTCACTCCAGCCGTTCTTGAATTCTCTTAGCTACAAGTAGCTATTCAGATGTGCCATGCACTGTCTGTCATGCTTTAAAACGCTTATGCATCGGGTCTTCACTTAACCCTGCCCTGTTTCTCTAGATTAGGTTATGATTCCATTTATTTGTTTCCTTAATACCCTGTAATTCACAGTACTTTATAAACATAATTACTGTTATTTTTAATAACAGCTTTATTGAAATATAATTCACATACCACACAGTTTCACACATTTAAAGGGTATAGTTCAGTGCTATTCGTAGAGTTGTACAACTCTCACCACAATCAATTATAGAACATTTGTCTCAAATGAGAGCACCACTTGCTGTCATGAAGACAGAAAAAAAATTCCTGTACTCATTAGCAGTCACTCCTTCCCCCTAACCTCTAGCCCTAGGTAACCACTAAATCTTTCTTTCTCTATAAATTTGTTTATTCTCGACATTTCATATAAATGGAATCATATAATATGTGGTCATTTGTGTCTAGTTTCTTTCACTTAGTATAGTGTTTTCAAAGTACATTCATGTTGTAGCATGTATCAGTTCATTCCTTTTTTATGGCTGAATAATATTCTGTTGCATGGATATGCCATAATTATTTATCCATTCATCAGCTGATGGACATTTGGGTTTTTTCACTTTTTGGCTATTATGAATAATGCTGCTATGAACATTTATGTATGAGTTTCTGTGTGTGGACAAATGGTGTCATTTCTCTTGAGGATATATGTACCTAGGAGTGGGATTGCTGGATCATATGGTAAGTCTGTGTTTAACCTCTTGAGGAACTGCCACACTGTTTTTCCAAAGCTGCTGCACATTTATATTCCTCCCAGCATTATATGAGTTTTCTGATTTTTCCACATCCTTGCCAACACTTACTGTCTTTTTGATTCTAACCATCCTAACGGGTATGAAGTGGTATCTCATTGTGGTTTTAATTTGTATTTCCCTAATGGCTAATGATGTGTTGAGCATCTTTTCATGCAATTATTAGCCATTGGTATATCATCTTTGGAGAAATGTCATTCATATCTTTTTCTCATTTTTAAAATTGGTTTATTTGTCTTTGTAGATTGAATTATAAGAGTTCTTTATATGTTGTAGATTAAAATCCCTTATCAGATATATGATTTGCAAGTATTATCTTCTATTCTGTGGGTTGTGTTTTTTCACTTTCTGATGGTTAATATTTTAAGTTTTTAATTTTGGTGAAGTCCAATTATCGTTTTTTTCTTCTGTTGAACTTTTGGTGTCATATCTAAAAAACCATTGCTTAATTCAAGGCTATGAAGATTTATGCCTTTGTTTCTTCTAAGAGGTTAACGGTTTATCTCTTACATGTAGTATATGTAACTAATTTTTGATCTTTACTTTTAGAATATCAGCATCATAGAGGTGAGATGATGTTTGTCTTATACATTTGTCTTTTGGGCATTAAGATTTGGAAAATACTAAGTGTTCAAAGATGATAGTGATTTTGGAAAGACAGAGACATTAAGTGTATACTGTCAGAAGGTGTTCAATCTATGGAGGATTTAGAGAGGCTTTCTACACAAATGAATATCTGTAACACCTAACTTTTGAACAGTTTTTCCTAGTTTTTTTTTTTTTTAAGAGATGGTGTCTTCACATGTTTATAGCAACACAATTCACAATTGCAAAGTGTGGAAACAACCCAAGTGCCCATCAATACATGAATGGATTAATAAAATGTGGTATATGTATACCATGGAGTACTACTCAACCATAAAAAATGGTAAACTAATACCATTTGTATTAACCTAGATGGAACTGGAAACCATTATTCTAAGTGAAATATCACAACAATGGAAAAACAAACATCACATGTACTCACCATTAAATTGGCACTAATTGGACGACACTTATGTGCACATACAGAAAAAAAACTCATCAGAGATCAAACAGATCGGGGGGAGAGGAGAGGATGAGTAAATGCACACCTAACAGGTACAGTGCACACTATCTGGTGATGGGCACACTTATAACTTTGAATCAAACTGTGCAAAAGCAGTTTATGTTACCAAAATGTTTATACCCCCATAATACTCTGAAATTAAAAAACAAAAAAGTCCTCTTCCTTTAAAAAAGGGAGAGAGAGAGAGAGAGATGGGGTCTTGCTATATTCCCAGGCTGGAGTGCAGTAGCTACTCACAGGCATGATCATAGCTCACTGCAGCCTCCAACTCCTGGGCTGAAGTGATCCTCCTGCTTCAGCCTCCCGAGTAGTTGGGACTATAGGCGCACACCAGCACGCCTAGCTAATTTTTTTCTCTTTTTGGCTCTGGTTGTATTTAAAGCTGGGAAATGAAATATTACATTTTGTTAGGGTTGCCAGGAGTTGAATTATATTGCAGATTAAGTTTAGGAGACTTGAAATAAATGTGTTTATTATGATTGTCCTCCTTAGTTCTCAGAACCTGGTCTGTTTAGCTTTACATATTTGGGCTTCGTAGCTGAGTATTTAATGCATTTGCATTTAGACTTAGAGTTTTATTACTGTTCTTCATCACTGATGCTTAAAGAATGAATCTATGAAAAAGTCCCATGTTCCCTTCTGATAAAAATTCATGCCACTTTCAGGTGATCTGATCCTACCTCCAGTGAGTATTAAAAGACAATTTTCTGATTATTTCTACCAGTAAAGAGGATTTTGTGGGGTTTTTCCTACCATGGATTGTGTTACCCCCTCCTGTAATACTACTTTGGGGTTAGGGTGGCATTTGAAATGAAAATTTTGACATATATATGTATGTTTTTTTTTTTTTCCTCCAAATTTGCTTTATGTAATTGGGTGGATATAAATTAATAAACAGAAATTTAAGCAAGATACATGTAACAATTTAACAGAACTTGATAATTAATTTCTTCCAAATTTATCTTGAAGTCTTTCCATTATGGGGCTCAGAAGAAAATTAACCAACATATGGATACTACTGTTGAATATCAAATCTTCACAAAAGCACTTATGACGTACTAAATACCTCTATAATGCAATTATGACAAACCTTCACAATACTTGAATTTTGTATGATGTAGAAAAGCATTAGAGTCAAATATCCAACTCAATATAAAATAATGAGAAGAAACACTTCTGATTTGTTAGGTTGAGATTGCTTCTCCTTTTGCTAATGAATGATTTTTAGCTATAATATCACTGAGCTGAACAAATAAGTCACCTTTGAGTACATAAGGAAAAATCAACACATGCTAAATGGATAAAACATTACTACTACATCTTTACTAAACCAGCTCTACCTCTAACACTTCAGAAGCTTAGAGATTTAAAGTATTCTTATAGTAACTGCAAGAGAAAGATAAAGGAGAAATTCCTTCTTTGAGATCACAATTATGAAGTCATGTGGTTATACAAATTCTGCATTTGTGTGCAAAACATGAAACACATTTATCTTTATTCTTACTGCTTAGTCTTGTCAGTAAGCTAGCAGGACTTAATAGATACCTTTCAAAGAAACAGAGACTGAGATGTGTTTTATATAACTTCAATAACCTTAGCACTACAGTAATGCAAGATGCAGTATCCTTTTGCTATGGTTCAAGATAAGAGGGCAGGAGGTCACAGGAAAGAGAATAAATCAAAATTGTTACAACTGAGAAGCTGCTTCTCTTTAAGTTTCACCATGGTGCTACCCTCATTTTGCACATAAACATGGTGGCGTAATTCAAGCTCAATAAATCAGAATTCTTAATATTTAAAATTTATCTTGACTTTCAATTATCACCATATTAACAACCAAAATAATTAGATAAAACACACAGGAAAGGGTAATATTAAACCCCACTTTACTAGAGTTGGTTTCTTGACACATTAACTCATTTTTTTTTTATAGAAAAGGGATAGTGCATCTCAGTTTGCTTACAAGCTAGGAGATCACTTTGAATTCTGCATTTCCTAACTGCAAACGGAATATAGCACTTATAACAGGTTATAAATAAACTGGTTTTCAAGCATAGAGCCAGCCCCAACGATAATAATACACTATTTAAAAAGACCTAAGGCAATGAATTCCATTTCCAGTGGAAAAAAAGAACTGTGCAAACAAGCTTAAAACTACTTTTTTGTGCCAGTGTTATAAAATGTAGCTTTTAATAAAACCTTGACCCAAATGCCAGCAACTTCAGAAAAGAATTTTGGTGGGGGGGGGGTGAAGAAAAAAGTTATTTCATTTAGGAAAAATAACCACTATCTTTTCCTAATCTTCAACACACACAATTTAAACATATACAGCTGCTGTAACACTTTACACAATTCCTATGTACTGGAGCAATAACAAGATCTAAATACAATTATATTTTTAAACACTGGGTCAAGGCTTTACATAAAAATACCATCCTACTTTTCCCACTAAGTTTCTAAAATAATCACATACTTTCCCCCAACATCTGCAGCCATCCAGGAATTTTTAGGAAACTTTTGTGCATGATCTTAATTCCTAATCCGTGGCTCTTTGGCCTCAATGACAAAAGATCAAAACCACCCAAAAATGATGGTTCACCTGAAGTCAGACGAGACCCTGGCTCAATTAGTCTCATAGGATGAAAGCAGTGCTGCATCAACTGGCTCCATGCAGGAGGGGCACGTGAAGGATCTCATCAACCAGTCATCTATACAGTCCAGGTGATAGATGTGCATGCACGACAGAAATTGAATTGGGTCCCCATAAACAAAGTCCATCATACAGATCACACACTCTCGGATCTTTTTCTCTGATCCATCTCTTCCAGGGTCATAAACTCCTTTAGGCAGGTGCTGAATAAGGCCTATTCTTTGAGCTATCCTAATTTGTTCCTCTTCAGTCAGTTGGGTTGCTAGCCGAGTCTGGCTAGGTGTTGGATGATAGACTGGAACTGAAACTTGTTCCTCATATGGTTGCGGCGGCTCCTGATCCGGCTCCGTCCCCTTGCCAAAGGTAGCCCGTTCGGACTGAGACTCGTGAAGCAAAGAGGTGTCGTCCGAGGTGGGGGATTTGAGGCAGTTCCCCATCTTCTGGGGCTGGAACGTATGATCTGTGCACTGTTCTGACAGTCTTCTCCTATATGTATGTTTTTTGAGACAGGGTCTCGCTGTCACCCAGGCTGGAGTTCAGTGGCGTGATCATAGCTCACAGCATCCTTGAACTCCTGGGCTCAAGTGATTGTCTTGCCTCAGCCTCCCAAGTAGCTGGGACTACAGGCATGCACCACCATGTCCCACTAATTAAAAATATATATTTTTTTTATAGAGACAGGGTCTCCGTATGTTGTTCAGGCTGGTCTCAAACGCGTGGCCTCAAGTGATCCTCCTGTCTCAGCCTCCCAAAATTACCATGTGTGGTAACTTTGACTGCCATGACTTTCTAGAATAATGTAGACTTTGTCATCATAAACCTGCATGTTTAATCTTTTGAGAAGGGAGAATTGGCATGTTGATAATGAGTAATTTTGTGGATAAAATACCTGACTAGGTGTCAGGTTTTTTTTTTTTTTTGTTAGTGGATTGATGTTATAAAGTAATTTCAGTATAAGAAGTATCACAACTAGTATGTTAACAAAATGTAGGTAGATACATTGCTAGATTTACTTCAGACGCAGAATCACGGAGGAAAATTCCTGAGACTAAGCTAAATCATGGAGGGAAAAATGTCCTCATTTAACACATATATACTTTTAAGTGTGGGTTTAAGAAGACCTTGATAACATGTTCTGATTAAAAAAATGTTTGTATGTATTAAATTTAGGATTTTAATGTCAGAAAATAAGCAATCTGATACCTTGTAAGGATACACAAGGGAAAGAAAAGTATTTGGGTTTATTGCTTAGTTACAGTGACATGTATGCTGCTCAAGCGATGAAATTATTTAATGTGCGTTAGTATATGTCTCAATTCTAATGAAACTGGCTCTAAGTCTGTATTTATGCTTGTAATTTTAGCTTTTACTATGGTAACCTCAGTTCTATCATTAAAAACTGTAAAAAGTCAGCCATGCATTGAGTGCTGTACTTTTTATGTTAGGAGGAGCAGATTATAGTCAGTACTTGAAACACCAGCCTTCTAACTCATTAACACCATCATCATCATTCTCATCCTTGAAAATATCTATAAGAATATATGAATTGAGGTGCTAAGTATACATAATCTTAAATGACACTTTTGGGGGGCAGAATCCTTTAATGAGTTCTTATATGTTTCATTCTCCTCATCCCCACCTACTGCTTTTAATGTGAACTTTAATAATTTTATGTTTTTGTATGATTTTTTTTTGATCCATAGCAGTCATTGAGTTGCAAAACAAAAGCAACAAAACACCCTAAATTACAGCTCCCACAGATGTCAAGAAAATAGAGTTCCTGCACTTCAAAGTGGAGAAGGTGAGGTGGCAGTTTGAAATAAGTGGTTTATTAGTCTTCTGTGTTCAGTTCACTTAAGCTGTTTTTTCTTTTGGCCTGTAAGTAAGTTCCACATACGTAAAACAGATTCAATTTTTTCAATTATATTTTCTTGTTTTGTCAATTTATTTTTAAAATGATTGCTTCCCTCTAAATGTATAATTTAGAAAGATTTGCAGAATTGTCTGTTTTTTTTTTTTTTAAAAAGGCTGGTCAAGTGGAGCAGTGGGAGTGGAGAAGGAACAAAGGAATCTGTAACTGGTTGTGATCAATTAGTTGTAAACACCACTGCACTCGGACCAACCAGAATTGTCTGTTTTTATTATATGTGACCATATTACCCTTCACAAAGGACTACATATTCTGTTTTTTAGAATAAGGGGAAAAAGCTAGTTCACAAAAATTGGCAGTGTTTTGTGAATGCCATTTTGGGATATAAGATATACCCATTTTGCCTTTTGCAGTGCTTTTGGCAAGCGCTGAACTTCTTGCCTCATTCTCACCTAATCTGCTGGATAAATGTAAAAGTATGTCCTCAATCTTATATAATAAGTGATTTTTGCCTAAAGTCACCCGTAAATAGTAGATAATTCAGGGGTCAGCCATTGTATCATAATAATCTTTCTAGGTATAGAGCTCTGTGAGACTGGTTTTTAAAAAAATTTTTTTAAAGATTTATTAAAAATATTTTTACCTACTTTATGTGTTTTTTGGTGGAAATTATCATAAGCTTCTAGTAAATTAGGGGAAGTATTGGTGAACCTAGAGCAGGAACTGTCCAAGAAGAGCTTTAACTCTTTGGAGTTCTTTTAAAAAATGATCTGAGAAGATACTCCCCCTTTAACTCCCTTTTCAGTTTAGTTTAAGCAATAGATTTCTCTTGTACTATCAACTGACTAACCTAAAATATATATTCTAATAGTGCATTAGAATTGCAACTGAAGAAGATTATTTGAAAAATGAGTCTTAAAAGTCAGCAATACAATTGTTTTACTATAAAAATCAGCTCAGTAGTAGGATTTTCCCCACTTTCTTCCACCATACTAAATACTACATCTATGTATAAGGGGCTACATTGATTTAATTGTAAAGTCATAATTTATCATTGTTGGGGCTGTTTTCCATGCCTTTTCTGAGTTTTGCCTTGAAGTCAAGTCAACAAAGCATTAACTAAAATAATTATTTTAGACCGAATGTATTGAATAAAATATTGACAGGCCACAATGACTGATAAAGTGTACCACATTAAGCCTGTGTGGTTTAGTAGTAGCTTACTGTTTTATCAAATGGGCTTTACATTCCAGCTGAAAGACCTACTTAAATATATGTGCATGTATATAATACATAATTCTCCTCTTTACCCAATCATTTAAAAAACAATTTGAGTTTATACTCTGCTTGAAAGTAAGCATGAAGTTGAGTTATGTGAACACTGAACTTTCAAAAGTAATTCCCTAATGTTTTGGACTTCGTTATGATTAGAAACATGGAGTCAGGAAAACCGTATGGGAGAATAATTTGTTTCCTGAGGAATAAAAGCTGTGGGATACCCACTTACAAACCAAGCATTAGGCTTTATGTTGCTACTTATTGCCTTCATTCGGTTGCCACTTTTACTAAGTGTTTGTGAAGCACGGATTTTCTCTATCAGTACTATATAATTTTGAAAGTTTCTACTATATTTGTTTCTACAGAGCATCCTTTTGAAAATTATGATGTCAAAGCTAGCTTCCAGTGCATATATTTTAAGTTTACAGATGATACAAGGAAGCTATATATGGTTTTTCCAACCTTTGTGCTTAAAAAACAGGCTGTATTTAGGTCTTAGTAAATGGAAACCTTTCTTTCTCGACTAGTGCTTTTCAGATAATAAAAATTTTTATTGTGTAAAGGAGGAAGGGAACGTAGCATCTGCATTAGGGTCATTTTTTCCTATATCCTATTAGCTAATTCCAAGATTGTTTAATATGGTATCCACCCATTTCATTTGGCTGCACCCTTTGCTCTCGTGAAAGTAAGACCGATTGTTCTGAATTGCTACGTATATGTGCTTTGGCACAGCATGAAGGTACCCTTAATCACATTGCCATTGTCTTTAAAACAGCTTGCAGTTATGGCTACAAATAAATGGGTGTGACAGAAGGGCAAGACAGATAATGGTTCTTTTTTCCGTCCCTACTGTTTTGCTGATCTGCTTTGTTCTATTTAGTAGCCTTTTGTGTTCCCTGGGCTACCTACTGTATTTTCTGTATATTGTTCCTAGTCAACTAAAATGTGGTTGCATATTTGTCACTATAACTTTAACATGCCTACAGCCCAACCGCTTCGAATCCTTTTCGTGGAGGCAAGCAAAACAAAATGTGTGGGAAGAAGTTGAGTGGCCTTGCCTCTGCTGGCATTCCCCCCCCCCGCCCCCGACTTTTATGTTTAAATACTTAAGCACTTAAATTATTTTGTGTGACTCTTGTCCTGTGAATATTTATTTACTTTTGTCTGGTTTAGAAATTTGGTTTTAATCCCTTTCCTCTTTTCACTGCATATCTTTACTGTGTAATTTCTATTTTAAAAGGAGTTTCTATGGAAAAAATGACTGGCTGTTTGAGTGGCTCTGTTTTCAATTGCTCAGAGATTCTGTACCGATATGAGGAAAGATTTTATTTCTGTCATACTTTATTCTCATTTTAAATAACTTTATCAAGTGATGTGGGAGGAGATCTAGATAAATACCTATAATACAGAAATCAGAAAAGCTTCTTTATTGCTTTAGGAGGTTACCTCTGAATTATACATTTCTCACTGACCCGTTTAAGAGAAGGAAACATTTAATGACCTTCCTGGCAATCTCATATGGCTGCTAATATTTATTTCCATTTTACTCTTTCAAAGATGGTGGATCAGAGAAAACGAGCATTTTGTGTATAATTACAGGCACACAGTCTGACTCCAGAACCTGTTCTTTGTTTTAACAATATCATCTTCCACCTGAAGTGGCTTATTTCTAGGGTCGGTTTGTCCTTCAGGAGATCCACTGGAGAGTATAAAATATTTAATGTATGAAATCAAAATTTGATAAAGTACACTAAGGAAAAAGAATAATTTGTCTTTGATTTCTCATGTAATTAATAGTCTTACCTCTAAAAGTACTGCTGTAGTACTTTAATATAGACTTTAAAATTTGATCTTCACGTTAAGATTCTTCTATGGTTGAGTTAATTATCTTCATTTTGTAGATGATGAAACTGAGGTACAAGCTTAAACTATAATAGGTTTTCTTACAATAGCTTGAAGTATATTGTTCACACTGTATTATAAATGCAAAGTCTTGCTAGATTTGAGGGTCAGGTTTTGGAAGAAACAATAGTTTACTGTAAACAGTATTCAGTGATTTGGAATCAGGATACTTCAGGAAAGCAGTAGCATCAATTCCTTCTTAGTTCTCTCATCTTTAAAATGAAGAGGCTGAATGAAGTGGTCTTAATACCTCTTTAAATGCTTCAGAATGATTATACTTTAAAAGCTTCAGGGGTGCAAGAATTTGAATGAGTAAGAAAATTACTTGTTTTTGCTAATCTTGAAGTGAAATTTAGCATTTCCTTCAACCACAACACTGCTAGCAATACCTGTGATTTTTTTTTTTT